GGAGGCTGCAGTGACTGTTTTAGCACCAAACCTGGACAAGGCAGCTCTGTCATACTGGAAAAAAAGTTGTCATGAACAAATTCAGGTCAGTCTCAAAAAGTGTCTGCACAACTCCCATATCTCACCACAGGCTCAGAATGTCCTACTTTAAGAATCCCCAAAATCCAGCTGTGCCCCTCAGTTCAAATACCTGCCCACATCCTGCCTCAGGGTCTCACCCAGGAGCTGTAGAGACACACCAAGCCCCTGGGCACTGTTGCTGTCTGGGGAAGACACAACAGCAGAGTTTGGGTGGGAAAGCCACCCTCACAGACTCTAGCCCACATTCTCCCAAGGGTCCCAGATGTCACCTTCCAACACTCAGACTTACAGGCAGCCTGACTGTTGCTCTGGTTGCTTCTGCCTGTGGGAAGAAAACGCTCTGTGAAAGGTCAGGGGAAGGGTGGATCCCATGACCCTAAAGGAGCCTCACACTCCTAAAGCACAGGGAAGGTTCCAGAAGTATGACTGAACACTCGGGGCAGAATTAGGAAATACAGAGACAGTACATGTGTGGGAACTGGACCAATTGCCCTGGGGATGTCTGTCCTCAGCAGGGACCTTCCCCTCTGACTTTCTGACAGCTGGGAATCAGTCCCCACCACTAGAACCATCAGGTGATAAATGTGTCCCTCACTTTCCCACGGGACTCACTAAACAGTCAGTGTTAGCAAACAGGCTCCATATGGACAAGCACCCGTGTGGGGACACGATGCCCATTAAGGAGGCAGAGCACACTTCCACCTGGACTTGACCCCCAGGGGCACAGGGAACTCAGCCCCACCCCTTGCCCACCTGAGCACTTCCTCCTCCACATCACAGCTCCAGCAGCCACAGCTCCAAGGAGACCCAGGGCAGCAGCAATGCCCACAATGCCCATGATGGTGATGGTGGTCTGAGGAGGGGGTTCTGAGAGGGGAAGGTGAGAGACCAACCTGAGGCCTGAGTCCTGACCCTGCTCAGGGACACCCTGACGAGAGTGTCCAGGTCTCTAAGGGGAGACACAGACTCAGGTGGAGGCTGAATGACTCAGAGAAGCCAGTCAGGCCTCCAGAGAAGGTCCCAGCCCCAGAACCAGGGAGAGCCTCCCGGTGCACCAGGTGCTGCAGGGGTGTGAAGGAAGTGCTGTGGGGCTTTCCAGGGAGAGGCTGGGTCCCTTACTGTCCTTCAGAGAAAGCTGGGCCCACGGGTGAGCTGTCAGCAGAATGAGGACACTTGGAGATTCTTCCCTCTCCTGAGCAGGAGCGGGGATCCGACACTGCACCCTTTGCCCCTCCTCTCCGCAGGAAGCCCCTCCAAGCCGACAGGTCCCTCTTCCGGGAAGGCTCACGCCGCAGCAGGGGTCTTCTTCCCCTCTTTCCAGGAGCAGGTGGAGCCGGCGCACCTTCAGCCTGCTCCAGGTAGACCCTCCTGAGGTCCGCGTCAGGGACGTGCACCAACTTGCCCCAGGTGATCCGGAGTCTAGGAAAGCGGGTACCCATTTAGGGCCAAGTAGGCGGTGCATCGTAGGCGAACCGAATCGTTTCCTTGGAGGAACCTCCTATGGTCGTCTACGCCGCAGCCACTCGTTTCCTTGTGGGTTGGGACACTGACTCCGCCCCCAGGTCAGGTCCGTCCCCTCCCGCGGTGAAGGTGAATAAAACGTAACCTGGAACGAAACGGGGTCAAATCCCCGCGAGCTCCAATCCTGAAGGGCGCAGGGCGAGTCTCCCAACCTCGGGGTGAAGCCCGAACCACAGATTCGGGGCGACCCCGGCCCGTCCGTGGTGAAGTGCATCGAGCTGGAACCCGGGCGCCGGTGGCTCCCCGTGTTCGCTCTGGCTGTAGCGGGCGTGCAGCCTGTTCGATTTCGCTGGCACAGTCTGTTCCTGGGCTTGATTTCCCGCGTCTGCTCGTCCTACTTCACTGGATCCTTCCGCTTCTCTCACGGAGGCTCCCTCCACGGTACCCGCGGCTCCAGCCTGGGCCTCGGGGCATCGCTGTAGAGCCGCAAGACCCGGGTATCGCCCACGTAGCCGACGACGCTGTACCGGTTCTTCAGAGGCAGGTCGGTCCGGACACGCCGGTGTTGAACTTTCTCACAGTGCGAGGGTCTGGGAGCTGAGAGGGCGACCGGCCTGAGTCTGCGGTCCGGCGGATTGAACTGGATCGCGCCCAGCAAAGGGGGCGGAGATTGAGAGGGGCGGGGCCAGGGGCGGGGCCGAGGAGGGGGTTTGCTGTTGGGATTGGGCTGCGGTGGCTGGCGACGCGCCCTTCCGGGGTTCCGCGTCCCCGCCAAGTGCACGCGCTCCTGCCCCACGGAAGCCGTTCCCTGCCGACCCCGCACTGAGCGGCCCAGGTCTCTGTCAGGCCCAGGGCCCCCGAGAGCAGCAGGAGCAGCTGTCCGGGACCCTGTCCAACCGTCGGGTCGGGGGAGGAATAGGTCCCTTAATTCGCATCCGGGATGATGATTGGCTTTTTCCGAGCTCGGACATCCAATCACCATGAGACAGGCTGTTGCCTCACGAATATCCAGGCGGAGACCCGGCGTAGGTCGTGATAAAGGAAAATAAAACCCCAAGGAGAAGGGAAAGCCCGGAACCGAAGGGCACTGCCCCCAGCACTTAGGGTCCCGCCTCAAACTCAGGACTCAGACCTTGGAGTCAGGCCTGGCGACCTGGGACTGGGCCCCGACCCCTCCTCCTCCTGCAGGGGGAGCTCTGTCCCGCTGTCTCCCTGAGTCCCGGCCCCCGGGCTGTTTGTTCAGCGACTCTCAAAACATTTTGGTTTCAGAATATCTAAAGAGTCTTACAAAATAGGGACGGCCACCAAAACAATTTTGTTTGTGTGGGTTACTGCTATCAATATTTACCATACAAGGAATAAGACAGTTGAAAAATTCTTAATTCATTTAGAATAATCATAATACCCTATGACATGTTAACAGAAGTAATGTTTTTTTTTTTTTAATGAAAAATAACTATTCCCCAAACGAGGTAGTGAAAAGAGTGGATCTGCTTACATTTTATATTTTCGTGAGTCTCAGTTCTTGTCTGTAAAATTAGAAGTCCGCTAGATTTTCATATTTGCTTCTGCATTTAATGTTATTTTTGGTTGCAGTATATGAAGAAATATACAGCATCACACAAATATGGAGAGGGAACATTTTTTAAAAAGATTTTATTTTTAGAGGAAAGGGAGAGGGAAACATCAATGTGTGGCTGCCTCTGGCAGCGCCCCTCACTGGGAACCTGGGACAAGGGCTCCTTGACTGGGAATCAATGGTGACCCTTTGGTTCACTGGCTGGTGCTCAATCCACTGAGCAACACCAGCTAAGGCAGGAGGAGCATTTAAAAAATATTTTTATTTATTTTTTAGAGAGAGGAGAAGGGAAGGAGAAAAAGGGAGAGAAACTTCAATGTGTGTTGCTGATCAGGAGAAGGGAAGGAGAAAAAGGGAGAGAAACTTCAATGTGTGGTTGCCTCTCGCATGTCCCCTACTGGGGACCTGACCTGCAACCCAGGCAAGTGCCCTGACTGGGAATCCAATGGTGATCCTTTGGTTCCACAGGCCCGCACTCAATCCACTGAGCCAGCCAGCTGGGGCAAGATGTTTTTAATTCTTTCATTTATGTGAATGTGTTAAAAGTGTAACTCGGGAAAGCACTAATGATATCCACATGCAATATAATACCATACTATCCAAAATAATATTCAAATTCCTTTATCATACAAAAACCCCAGGCATCTAAATACAAATAATAAATTATATTAAAAATTAAAATGAATTTTTTTTTCCTGAATGTTTGGGCCAAAAATGTTGGTGCATGTTATACATGGCAAAACACTGTAATCATCAGCTGATTCTCTGTATTTTTTGTTTCAATTCTCACCAGAGGACATTTTTTCCCTTGATTTTAGAGAGAGATGAAGTGGAAGTGAGTGAGAAAGGCTGGTATCACGGAGAAACATCGCTCAGTTGCACCCCAAGGTGCCCTGACCGGTGGGGCTCCCTACTCCAACTCAGGTGTGCGTCCTGACCGGGAACTGCACACATGGCCTGTTGAGGTGCAGGACAACACTCCAACGGAGCTAGTGGGCTGGGATGATATTGTTTTCTTGTTTTTGATGGAAGGTGGTCAGTGTAGCTAAGTGGGATGGGTGTTCTCCCACAAACTGAAAAGGCTCCAGGTCAGTTCTCAGTTAGGGCACAGGCCTGGGTGTGGGGCCACCTCCCCGATTAGCCCCTATCTTGATGTTTATTTCACACATCCATGTTTTGCTCCCTCTCTTTCTCCTTCTCTTCCTTGCTCTCTAAAAGTAAATAAATACACTCTGAAAAAAAAAAAAAGAAAATGCTAAGAACTACAGGATTTCACTCATACATGGGACATAAACCTAAAACTCAGGGACACAGACAGCAGGGTGGTGGTTCCCAGAGGGAAGGGGGTTGGGGGAGGAGGGGCCTCATACCTGGTGAGGGAAGATGGTTTGACTTTGGGTGGTGGGCACACAGTGAAATGTACAGACCCTGTGTCGTAGAAATGTGCACTTGAAACCTACAGGAACCTGTTAACCAGTGCACCCCAATACATTGAATAAGAACACCCCCCAATAATTTAATAAAAACATTGCAATAATTTAATAAGAAAACAAGAATAGAAGAATACAAGAAAACAAGAATACATAACATGTACAAAAAGAAAAAAAACAATAAAATACCCCAAACAGGGGCTGAGGGCCAGACCCAGGCCTGAGCCCAGGCTGACGGGGCCTCATGAAGCCCTCACTGAGCACAGTCCTGGAGCCACCACAAGGCCCAGGTGAATGCCCGAGTCCCTGGGATCCCAGGTCCTGCTGGGACAAGGTTCTCCTGAAGTGGCAAGGACAAAATAGCAACAAAGACGCCCCAGACTAGGAATGACCAGGATGGGGATGCCTCACCCCAGCTCTGCTAGGACATGACAGTCCCCTGGGGAGAGGACACAGGTCCCTGTGGGGAGGGTGGCCTTGGCACCAGCTCCTCACTGTGCTGATAAGAATGCAGACAAGTTCTGATGCCAGTTGCAGGAACAGCAGTCAGGGATCCTTAAAGTCCCAAGGGGAGGCTGCAGTGACCGTTTTAGCACCAAGTCCCATAGAAAGCAGCTCTGTCACCCTAGGAAGAAAGTTGTCATGAACAAACTCTGGTCAGTCTCAGAAGTGTCACATTCCCCCACATCCCACCACAGGCTCAGATTGTCCCACTCTGACAATCCCCAAAACCTATTTGTGTCCCTCGGTCCCAATGTCTCCCACTTCCTGAGCTCAGGGTCTCACCCTTAGGAGCTGTGAGAGACACACCTGAGTCCTGGGCACTGTCACTGTCTGGGGAAGACACAACAGCAGAGTTATGGGGTGGGGGAAGCCGCCCTCACAGACTCCAGCCCACACTCTCCCAAGGGTCCCAGACGTCACCTCCCCAACACCCAGACTTACAAGCAGCCTGAGTGCATCTCTCCCTGCCTCTGCCTGTGGGAAGAAAATGTTCTGTGAGAAGTCAGGGGAAAGGCTGGGTCCCGTGACCCTAAAGGAGCCCCATACTCCTGGAGCACAAGGAAATTTCCAGAACTGTGACTGAACATCGAGGTAGGATCAGGAAACTTAGGGAAAGTAACATGTGTGGGGACTTGGCCAACCACCCACCTGGACGTCTGTCCATAGCACAGATCCTACACTCTGACCTCTGGCAGCTGGGAAACAGTCCCTATTGCTAGAACCCTCAAATGATAGGTCCTTCACTTTCCCAGGGACCTCACTAAAGAGTCAGTGTTAGGAAACAGGCCCCAGATGGACAAGTACCTGTGTGGGGACACGATGCCCAGTAACCAGGCAGAGCACACTTCCACCTGGGCTTGACCCCCAGGGGGACAGGGAACTCAGCCCCACCCCTTGCCCACCTGAGCACTTCCTCCTCCACATCACAGCTGCAGCAGCCACAGCTCCAAGGAGACCCAGGGCAGCAGCGATGCCCACTATGGTCATGGTGGTCTGAGGAGGGGGGTCTGAGAGGGAAAGGTGAGAGGTCAACCTCCGGCCTGAGTCCTGACCCTGCTCAGGGACACCCTGAGGAGAGAGAGGCTCTGTGCCCACACCCCCTCCTCACCCCATCTCAGGGTCAGGGGCTCAGGCAGCCCCTGGTGCTGCACATGGCACGTGTATCTCTGCTCCTCTCCAGGGGGCACGGCCACAGCTGCCCACTTCTGGAAGGTCCCGTCCCCTGCAGGCCTGGTCTCCACCAGCTCCATGTCCTGGGTCAGGTCTTGCCCTTCACGCTGCCAGGTCAGGGTGATGTCCGCAGGGTAGAAGCCCAGGGCCCAGCACCTCAGGGTGACCTCATGGTCAGAGATGGGGTGGTGGGTCACGTGTGTCTTTGGAGGGTCTGAGGGGAGGATGACAAAATTCAGAGACTTTGCATGGTCATGGGACCCTCCAGCATGGCACCACCCAGACAGCAGCCTGGACAGGGCCTTATTTCCTGGAAAGTTCCAGAATTAGGGAGAGAACCTAGAGTTGGAGTGTCCAAGTGTCTAAGTTGAGAATGAGACTCAGGTGGAGGCAGAATGAGTCACAAAAGCTGGAGTCCAGCTTCCAGAGAGTCTCAGCCCCAGAACCAGGGGGGAGTTCCTGGTGTACCAGGTGCTGCAGGGTGTAAAACTCATTTTCGTGAGGGTCACATCAGCCTCTCAGTTGCCTTCAAAGGGCCAAATGTAATTTCAACCCCTTAACAGTTAAGAAGTAGTTACATTTATACGATTCTAAAATAAGGGAACCTGGAGGACTCTTCCCTCTTGAGACCAGGAGGAGGATTCTGATACTGGTCTATTTTCCTCCTCTCCTTGTAGGAAAATTTCCCCTGCCGACAGATCCCCTCTACTCGGGGAGGCCGTGCCCCGAACCTGCTCGGAGCAGCGTGTCCTTCCCCTTCTCCAGGAGGCGGTGGAGGCGGCGCACGCAGGTGTCCTGCAGGAAGAATCTCCTGACGTCCGCATCAGGGAGCAGCACCAACTCGCGCCAGGTGATCTGGGGCGCCATGGCTGTGGTGGTCCAGGAGCGCAGGTCCTCATGCAGGGAGAGGAATTCGGTGCCGTCGTAGGCGAACTGACTGAACCCGTGGAGGAAGCGCCCGTCCAACCCGACGAGGCAGCCGGTCATTTCCTGGAGGGTGTGAGACCCTGACGCCCCCCAAGGTCAGCACCACCCACTTGGCCCCGCCCGGCCCCACCTCGCAGCAGCATCAGGGGAATGCTAGGACCCTGCGACTGGGGCGACTCAGGCCCGTCCGTAGGGATGGGTTCATCCCCGAGCCCCGGGCACACATGGCTCACCGTCCTCGCTCTGGTTGTAGTAGACCTGCAGCTTGTTCAGGGTCACTCTGCTCCTCTGTTCATTGTGCCTTATTTCCTGCATCTGTTCCTCCCAAAACCCTGCGCCCTCCTGCTCCATCCAGGGCACCCTCGGCTCCAGTCTGGAACTGGAGGCGTCACTATGGAACCGCAGGATCTCCGTGTCGTCCAGGTAGATGACGACGGTGTAGCGGTTCTTCTCGCCGAGGGGTACGTACATGGCGGTGCTGCAATATCCCAGGGTGTGGGGGCCTGGGGGGGGAAGCAGGTCCTGGGTTCGCTGTGGGGCGGGTGGGAGCTGGGCGCCTGGGAGACTGAAACGTGGCGGGTGCTGGAGACGACTGAGCGGGAAAATGGGGGGGCGTGGCTAAAGCAGGAGTGGGGGAGCTCTGGGGTGTGGGCGGGCGGTGCTGCTGGAGCACAGTCCCCGGGTCTGCGCCTCCGCCGGCCCCCTGGCTCCTGCTCTGCAGAGGCCTTTCCCTCCCTACCCCGCACTCACCCGTCCAGTTCTGGGTCAGGGTCAGGGCCAGGGTCCCGGACAGCAGGAGGAGCAGGGCTCGGGGCCCCATGACGGCGATCCACCAAACGTGGGTGGAGGAGTCCTGCTCACCGGACGCACGGAGACGCCGATGGGCTTGTCTGCGTCCGCACATCCAATGGGAGTGAGGACTCCAGCTGCGTCAGCAAGGGTCCTGGCGTGGCTCTGTCCGGAGCGTTTGGCAAACTTGCAGAACTCCTGCTCCCTGTGAGTGAGCTCCTGTAGCCGGGTTTCCAAAACAGAACAGAGACGTTAAGGGCGTTCCTTTAACTATTTTTCCTCCTCATTCCGTTGACTCTTTACTGTCCCCTCATCCCATTCAACTCGTCTCTGTGCGTCCGTTTGGCTTCTTAGGAAGTAAGACTCGTGCTCTCTGCACCCGGATATCACTTTAATTCAGTGTGACCACCTTAATCCTGCAACTGTTACCCCCTTTACACCATGAGGACAGTTGTGTGGTGCTGACTGACCACCTACTGGTTCCCAGGAGTGATTTACAGGAAACTCCTATGATGCCGCTGCTTTAATTTGGTTATAGAGGGATCTTATCTGAGAGATGACCAGGGACATCACTGAGGGGGACATGCAGTAACTTCTGTGGTGGACATAACTGAGAATGCTCATCGACTGGAAATGAAATCTGCCCAGCACGCTGAACTGACTGCTCTAACTTGGGCTTGTCCCCTGGACAAAGATCCAGTCGCCAATGTTTACACTGAGAGTCCTGTGTGCCTGGTGCATCCGGGACTGTGGGATGATGGGGAAGTGGGTGAGGCCTCCTCACTTCCTCAGGGCAGTGCACAAAGACATGCAAAAGTGGTTGCAGGATTATTAGATGCCACACAGGACCACAAACAATGGGCCATCATCAACATTCCGGGGCATTCTAAAGCTGCCACCATGGAAGGGAAAGGAAGTTCATTTTGCCTGTGCTGCAGCTAGGGAGGTGGCATTGAACTGAGACATTATCCTGACCCAGAAATGTACACCGAATTCTATTAAATCAATAAAGGATTATCTTTTACAGTTTCAGTGGAGAGCTAAGGAAAAAGAAAAGGGAATATGCAACACAAAGGGGGAAACATTGGCCCAGACAGAGAGATGTGGCTGGGACCCAATCAGGACCCATCTCACCTGAAGGGGCCCAACTCCCTGCACTTGAACCTGTACAGGACCCACCACACTGGGGCCTTGGAAAGGTGATTTCATGGAGTGAACACTGTCACTGGAGACCTTCTCCTGCTGTGGCTCATGAGGAGTACAGCAGCTGTCCTGTCTGTCCACAGTGCAGCTCAGGAACCCACTCCCTGGGTCCCAAGGACATTTCCTGCTCCCTGTGGGTCCAGGTGAGGTTGGCATTTTATCCAATGTCACCGTGTCAGGGATGCAAATGTACATGAGTGATGACTTGTGTGTTTCCTCACTGGGTTGAGGTGTTGCTTTGAAGGAGAGTCACAGCCTCAATGTTTGCTAGTTCTCGTTAGAAAGAATAACTCAGAGGGGAATCCATCTGAGTTACACAATGACTGAAGACTAATTTCACTGGGCAGGTCACAAAATCTGTCTGGAACCTTTGGCCCCTTCTGCAGCATTTTCATGTGCCCCTCCCCCCTCCCCCCGGACTGGGGGATGCTCCAATGGGACATCAAAATTCAACTGGAGAGAACTTCAGAAGCCTTCACTCTGCCCTGGACAGAAGCTCTCTCTAGAGTGCAACTCAGCCTGAGGGCCACGCCCTTTGGTAACGTGAACCTTCTCCTTTGGGACTGGTCTCTGGCTTCCTTGTGCATCTGGAGAAGGGGCACATGGACCAATTTTGCTGAAAGGGGACTTTCTACATCAGTGTCAGGGGCTTATTAACCACTCCTGGGAGTCATAGGTTTCAAAGATGATGGCTTACAACCAGGACACTTGGTCTGTTGGACGAGACATCAAATCAAGGACTCTCTCCAGCCTCATTGGAGGGACCTTACCAGGTGCTACTAACTAACCCACGTGCAGCTGAGCTCAGAGGAGTTAACTCCTGGGTTCCCACGTCTCATTTAGAGAAGACTCCTGACAGTGCACGGAGATCTGCCCCTTCCCTGACACTTGCCTCCATCCACAGTAGAGATCAAGGACTTTTCAAGGACAAGAAGCCACCAACCAGGCAGGCAGACAGCTGTCCCAACACAGCAACGGGGCCTACAGGCTCACAAATTGATGCTGCTGTTGACTGAATGTGCATAAGATGGATTTGTATTGTTATTATCCTCCTCGTGGCTTCCTGATGGAAACAGTACCCGTCCACCCAGACCCCTTCCTTCCTAGATGTGGAAAACGTATCTTTGGTACCTGTCAACATTCCCACCTACTGGACAATCATATTCTGTTTTTTAAATAGTTTTACGTCTTTATTCTTAGAGAGAGGGGAAGGGAAGGAGAAAGAGTGGGAGAGAACATGAATGTGTGGCTGCCTCTCATGTGTCCCCTACTGAGGACCTGGCCTGCAACCCAGGCATGTGCCCTGACTGGGAATCAAACTGGCGACCCTTTGCTTCACAGGCCTGTGCTCAATCAACTGAGCTACACCAGCCAGGGCTGGACAGTGATATTCTAATGATCAGTTAGGATAATGAAGTTAATGCTTTGTTGCCCACACATTGGGCCTCTCCTACTATCAGTATAAGGTTTGGTACATTTTTTTCCTCAATCAGTCTGTCCTAAAGAACCCATCCAGGGGAAATTCCTCCAAGAACACATCCCTGATAACTCACCTGCTGGAATCACATTGGACCCACCTAGTTGAGTGTTGTGTAACTACAGCAATGGCTGATGAAGAGCCAAGAAAAATACCTGGTTGTGGTGGAAAGGCTTGCAGCCACCTGCCCTGTCTGTCACACTGTGTGTGGCCCTAGGACTCACCAGGCATGTGCCTGTGGCTGGATGTTTGTGAAAAAAGAAAAAAATCAATGGCTCCTTATTTCAAAAATTATCGTTATGACTTGGTGGGCAGCTGTATCTGTAAATAGCCCTGTAACCTGTATCCTGTCCTCTGTCTCCTGGACACTTGTGGGAAGCCCTATGGGACACTGAAACCCTAGTTCATTTTGGGGTGACTTCCGTCCACTTAACTGTGGATGGGAAAGTCCACATGTCTGGGTCCATTCAGTGCACCCCAGCTGCTCCCTGGCCCTGGCTGCCCAATGGCGACAACATCCCTGGTGGACCCACCCCCACCCGCCCTCTAAAGGAAATAGAAGGGGGGACTTGGAGGGTTAGGGGCTGGCCTTGGCGTTCTGGGACAAGCTGAACTTGCGGTCAGTGAAGAAGGTCATTCATTAGAAAAGACCCTTTACCTAAAGTGGGTCCTGCAGAGGGACCGACTGCTGTTCCAGAAGCAGGAACAGGGTGGGAAGCAGCACAGAAGGACAATGAGGCCTGAGCTCCGTGGCCAAACAGACTCGACAGACTGTGGAAACCCAGGCCCAGGCCCAGCAGTGGGACCTGCCTGCACCCGAACTCCACAGGCCTGTTGTCCCTGCTGATGGAGACGGGGTCGGAAGTAGCCATGAAACCGTGGTCAGTGGGGTGGGAGCAGGAGCCCAGGCCAGACAGTCATGGGACTCATATGGTCCCCCTGGATTTTGGAGAAGTGGGATGGGCAAGGCAAGCTACAACATAGTGTGTTAAAAGCCCAGGCACGTTGGTGAGGTCCTACGCTCAGATTCTGAGTATTCAACAGCTGGCATAGGGACCATCCTCGCCAACATGCGATACTTCCTATGGGAAGTAAGTGGGCCCAATTTATTAAAATAAACAATGGGGGCCCATCTCCCTGTCTAATCATAAAAGTTGAGAAGGTGACGGTCATGCCTCCAATTTATACGAAGTACAGTCTGGGCGTGTTATTTCTTCTCCAACAAATAACAGTGTCTGGTGTATGGAAAAGGGATGTTTGTGTTGGGAGGGGCAGAGAATTCCGCTATACTAAGTGATCTTCATTGTGATAACACCATCTTTATGTGAAATAGTACTGGAAAGTTGTGTAACACTAAAATTGTAGGCGAAATAACTTTGCCCGAGGTTAATAAAATCTATGGCATTGTCGATACCGGAAGTCCAACCTATTGGGAAAGTGAACCTGATCCTTCCCATGAGGTCATTTCTATGGCAACGTAGTGGCCAGAAGGAAAATTAGAGCTTCTGAATCTCGAAATAGTAGCACTTGTGGGGGAGACTTCTTTCTTGAGGTCCCCCCCCCCAGTGCAACGGACACGCGTGAATGAGTAAATATGGCCGAGACAAGATGAGATCTGTTTGGGGGATGGAGGAGTGGGCTGTGGCCAGTTTCTCTGGGGAGACAAGGAGAAAAAGGCCCCAGCGCCCTCTTCCATAGCCTTTTATTGCGTTGTAATACGGGAATACAGGGTGGCAAGGATCAAACAGTAGCTAACATTTCAAAGAGTTCTGAGGGTTTTAGTCTGAGTGAATGTCTGTCAGGGAGAGAGTTGCAGAAACTTTGGGAGACATACTCATTTCCTATCAGACCCTTATCATATGAATGAAAGCACTCTTAGCAGAGCAGATTTCACAGGTTTATCAGGAAGTCTTTGTGGTGCCAGATTTTTCCCCAGGGCACGCTCTGGCCAGGCAAGGAGCTGCACCTCTCCCCAACAGGTATTTCGGGTTAAGGGGATTAGAGCCAGGAAGCGCTTCTCCCAGAGAACTTGGGGACTCGGCTATGTCAAAGCCAGGGGGCAAGAGTCCATTGCTTCCTGTTGCAGCCACCCGAGTCCTTCCATGAAGGCCTCCCAGGTGATGGAGTCTGGCTTAGGTTGCCCCCCGCTGTGAGGGGTCTTACCCATCACTGACTTCTGACCAAGCTGTGGGGGCAGGGAGAGGAACTGAGGCAGGGTTTGCTACCAGAGACAGGCTTTGTCTCCTGTGGCTGGAATTCCAGAGGTCGTCACTCACTCTTAGCCACAGGAGTAGAGATACAATTCCTAAAATCAGGCAGAGTTGTGTACTACAAACACTCCTGCTACTATAGTTGTCCAGACAACCATAACATACAAGGTAGGAAGGACAGTGAGCCAGGGAGGGAAGACATTATTAGGTTAATAAAACTGTTGATGATACATGCACAGGGTTTTGGTGGCTGGGACACCTGTTCCCCTCAGATGCTTTCTTGTCTATTATTAGACGTTTTCTGTTGCTAATCAGTGTTGCGGGTTTAGTAGAGTTACTCCTGTCCCCGATGCGTAAATGTTAGACTAAGAGGCAGAAAAACAGAACTTAGGACCAGCTGCAAAAAGACTCAGGTCACGGCAGCTCGAAAACTGGAAATGATCCAGAACATTCACAAACAAGGGCCCGAAGGCTCTGGCTGCCTCCTGTTCCCCGCCTTCTCTGAATAATAGTTGGAGCTTCAGTGCTTTCTGGGGTTGTGGTCTGGCTCATTCCCAGGGGTCCGCCCGGTTCAGCAAGACAGATGCCGACTCTGACACGGCGGGGGAGTGAGCCTTCCTCCCACCATGGGGCCACCTACCCACCCAAAGGGCTGGTTCGCAATGCACGCTTTGACTGGTTTATGATGAAAAGGGGGGCTTGTGGAAGGAAAGGGGCCACGTAGTAACCTGAGAAGCTCAGGGGAGGCCTGTGTGGCAGGCAGCCTTAGGCACTCGCACTCGGAGACCTGAGGCAACCACACTGGTCATCCCGTGTGACCCGGGGCTGATCGTCCTGTGGGTTCTGGTCCCCCAGCTCCCTGTTCACGGCCTCAGGTCTGTTCTGTGGCTTTTCCTGAAATGAAATGAGCCCCCCAATAACCCACATATAAATTCTTTTATATGTTTAAATTAGGAAATTTTGGTTCTGTTATTTGCTCCAGAAATCAATCAGGGGAATCATTACAGAGAGCAAGCATTTGGAGATTTTCACGATGTGGAACTGAGAGCCCCTTTCTCAATCTTTCGCTTGACTTTCCCGCGTGGTAGAGAAAATGCTGTACCTCTCATATCGTATGACACACGAACGACCTCGCCTTCCCCAGAAAAAGAAAACATTTAAATGTGCATTTAAGTCATTTCCCCAACCTGGGCCCGATCTCACCACTGAATTGTGTGAACCCAAATCCGGCTGAGACCAGGATGGCTTGTGGGCTGGTTACAAAATACATAAATTTCTGCCCATTGCTGCTGTCAAAATGTTGGGTATGAAGTCCAAATTATTTTTCAACTCACGATATTTTTCACCTTTTTCTTTCATTTTTTTGTTCCACCAGCCTTTATCCCCCCCCAACCACCCATACAACCTCCACCCCAATTACCACACCATTGTCCGTGTCCATGAGATTTTTTATTTTTTAACTACGGTTGACATACAATGTTGTGTTACTTTCAGCCATGGAACTCCGTGATTATACATTTATATAACTTATTAAGCAATCTCCCTGAAAAGTCTAGTACCCATCAGACACCATATGTAGTCACAACAATATCACTTCCTACTTTCCCCTGCTGTACTCTACACCCCACTCATAAGTGTCCAGGGCTGACACGGGACAACCACCATATTTTCGCTGACTTGGGTGGAAGTTATGAGAGGGACTAAGCAGAGTGAGTGTAGAATTGGTGAGGGCACAGCAGGACAATCTCAGAACGTCTCCCTGTAAATTACTGATGAATGAAAAACACCAAACGGTGACTGTTTGACAGGGATACCTGACTGTCACCCCCGTGAGTGGGTCACCAGAATGAATGTCCCCACGGTCAGGACAGGGAGGTGCAGTGTCCCGTCCTTGTTCTTTAATCTTCCACAGTCCTGGCTCCCTTGGTGGCCTCATCCACCCTCATGGTTTTAAATGTCATTTTTGTAGCATCACCTCTTCCCCTATGTCTCCAGCCCAGACATTTCTCCTCAAGGTCCCCACACTCATCTGTCCAACCTGACTCCTCACTGGTGCTCATAACAGACGTCTCACCTTGACCTTCTCTTCAGCTGAACCCTTGAAATGCTCATCCCTCCCCCACACATACTCCTGCCAGTATCTTCCTCGTCTCTGCTGATATAACCCCATCTTTCTGCTGACACAGCACAAACGTGGGGTGCCCTCCTTGACTCCTTCCCCACAGCCCAGATTGAATCACTAGGAAATGCTGGGAAATCCATCTTCCAAATGCATTCAGTGTCCAGTCCCTTCCCACTGTTTCCACCACTCACAGCCCCATCAGAACACCCAGCACCTGCAGCCTGGAACCCTGGGAGCTTCCCCACACCTTTCCCTCCTGCCTCGCTGGTCCCTGGTCTCCTGATTCTGTTCTCAGTCCAGTAGCCAGACTGACCCTGTGGCCCAAGGGCTCTCCCTTGAGGACGAACTCTCAGAGGAAGCCACTAAGGTCATGGGGGCTCCTTGGCCATGACCTTCCAGGACTCAGCATCTGCAGAATGAGAGCAGTGTCTGCAGTGGATTAAGGACAGTGGATGCTGGGACACTTCCTGCTTTAAGCAGGTGTCCTCACCTTCTGATTGGTCAGCTCTCTGTACCCCACACAGACAGCCCTGAGGTCTACATGAGGAGGGCCTGAAAGCTTGGGACGACTCCTAGGCAATAAATATGCACTTGGTTAGAATCAGGGACTCAACCAGCCAAAACTGGAGGCTCCAAATGGTCGCATTCGGATGCGTGGGAAGAAACCCTTAAGTGCCAATGGAACACAGGTGGTCACAAGGAACATCACTGGGGAGCCGTGTGGTCCCCTTGTCCGTGGCAGACAGTCTGTCCCTCCTGGGTTGTCTGCACACCTCATGGTAAGTTTGTGAGTTTAAATTAACAGCTTAACAAATGGGATGAAGGTGTACATAGAATAATATTTGCTGGAAACGATACACTTTGGAGCTTTTAATCTAAATCACTTCTGTTTAATTCGTATATATAAATATAGAGTTAAATTTATTTAATGCAGACGTGTTCAGATACTTGTTGCAGAAACTGTAGTCAGGGACCCTTAAAGTCCCAAGGGGAGGCTGCAGTGACTGTTTTAGCACCAAACCTGGACAAGGCAGCTCTGTCACACTGGGAAAGAAAGTTGTCATGAACAAATTCAGGTCAGTCTCAGAAGTGTCACAACTCCCACATCCCACCACAGGCTCAGAATGTCCTACTTTAAGAATCCCCAAAACCCAGCTGTGCCCCTCAGTTCAAATACCCGCCCACATCCTGCCTCAGGGTCTCACCCTTAGGAGCTGTGAGAGACACACCAGGGCCCTGGGCACTGTCACTGCCTGGGGAAGACACACAGCAGAGTTACGGGGTGGAGGAGCCCCCTCAGAATCCAGCCCACCCTCTCCCAAGGGTCCCAGACGTCACTTCCCCAACACCCAGACTTACAAGCAGCCTGAGTGCATCTCTCCCTGCCTCTGCCTGTGGGAGAAAATGTTCTGTGAGAAGTCAGGGGGGAGGCTGGGTCCCGTGACCCTAAAGGAGGCCCACACTCCTGTAGCACAAGGAAATTTCCAGAACTGTGACTGAACATCAAGGTAGGATCAGGAAACTTAGGGAAAGTAACATGTGTGGGGACTTGGCCAACCACCCACCTGGACGTGTGTCCATAGCACAGATCCTACACTCTGACCTCTGGCAGCTGGGAATCAGTCCCCATCTTTTAAATGATAGGTCCTTCACTTTCCCATGGACCCCACTAAAGGGTCAGTGTTAGGAAACAGGCTCCATATGGACAAGCACCCGTGTGGGGACACCATGACCATTAACCAGGCAGAGCACACTTCCACCTGGGCTTGACCCCCCAAGGGGACAGGGAACTCAGCCCCACCCCTTGCCCACCTGAGCACTTCCTCCTCCACATCACAGCTCCAGCAGCCACAGCTCCAAGGAGACCCAGGGCAGCAGCGATGCCCACTATGGTCATGGTGGTCTGAGGAGGGGGCTCTGTGAGGGGAAGGTGAGAGGTCAACCTCAGGCCTGAGTCCTGACCCTGCTCAGGGACACCCTGAGGAGAGGCTCTGTGTCCACACCCCCTCCTCACCCCATCTCAGGGTCAGGGGCTCAGGCAGCCCCTGGTGCTGCACATGGCATGTGTATCTCTGCTCCTCTCCAGGGGGCACGACCACAGCTGCCCACTTCTGGAAGGTTCCGTCCCCTGCAGGCCTGGTCTCCACAAGCTCCATGTCCTGGGTCAGGTTCTGCCCTTCACGCTGCCAGGTCAGGGTGATGTCAGCAGGGTAGAAGCCCAGGGCCCAGCACCTCAGGGTGACCTCATGGTCAGAGATGGGGTGGTGGGTCACGTGTGTCTTTGGAGGGTCTGAGGGGAGGATGACAAAATTCAGGAACTCTGCATGGTCATGGGACACTCCAGCATGGCACCACCCAGACAGCAGCCTGGACAGGGCCTTATTTCCTGGAAAGTTCCAGAATCAGGGAGAGAACCTAGAGTTGGAGTGTCCAGGTCTCTAAGGTGAGAATGAGACTCAGGTGGAGGCAGAATGAGTCACAAAAGCTGGAGTCCAGCTTCCAGAGTCTCAGCCCCAGAACCAGGGGGAGTTCCTGGTGTACCAGGTGCTGCAGGGTGTAAAACTCATTTTCGTGAGGGTCACATCAGCCTCCCAGTTGCCTTCAAAGGGCCAAATGTAATTTCAACCCCTTAACAGTTAAGGAGTAGTTACATTTACAGAGTTCTAAAATAAGGAAACCTGGGGGGCTCTTCCCTCTTGAGACCAGGAGGAGGATTCTGATACCGGTCTATTTTCCTCCTCTCCTTGTAGGAAAATTTCCCTGCCGACAGATCCCCTCTACTCGGGGAGGCCGTGCCCCGAACCTGCTCGGAGCAGCGTGTCCTTCCCCTTCTCCAGGAGGCGGTGGAGGCGGCGCACGCAGATGTCTTGCAGGAAGAATCTCCTGACGTCCGCATCAGGGACCAGCACCAACTCGCGCCAGGCGATCTGGGGCGCCGTGGCCGTGGCGGTCCAGGAGCGCAGGTCCTCGTCCAGGGAGAGGAATTCGGTGCCGTCGTAGGCGAACTGACTGAACCCGTGGAGGAAGCGCCCGTCCGACCCCACGACGCAGCCGGTCATTTCCTGGAGGGTGTGAGACCCTGACCCCGCCCAAGGTCAGCACCATCCACTTGGCCCCGCCCTGCCCCACCTCGCAGCTGCATCAGGGGAATGCTAGGACCCTGAGACTCGACTCTGGCCCGTCCGTGGGGATGGATTCATCCCCGAGCCCCGGGCGCACGTGGCTCACCGTCCTGGCTCTGGTTGTAGTGGGCGCGCAGCTTGTTCAGGTTTGCTTTGCTCCGCTGTTCGTTGTGCCTTATTTCCCGCGTCTGTTCCTCCCAAAACCCTGCGCCCTCCTGCTCCATCCAGGCCGCCCTCGGCTCCAGTCTGGCACTGGCGGCGTCGCTGTGGAACCGCAGGATCTCGGTGTCGTCCAGGTAGATGACGACGGTGTAGCGGTTCTTCTCGCCGTGGGGTACGTACATGGCGGTGCTGCAGTATCCCAGGGTGTGGGGGCCTGGGGTGGGGGACACAGGTCCTGGGTTCGCTGTGTGTGTGTGGGGGGGGGGTGGGAGCTGGGCGCCTGGGACACTGAAACGTGGCGGGTGCTGGGGAGGAGTGAGCTGGGAAAATGGGGGGCGTGGCTGAGGTGGGAGTGGGGGAGGTCTGGGGTCTAGGCCTGCCGTGCTGGTGGAGCACAGTCCCCGGGTCTGCGCCTCCGCCGGCCCCCTGGCTCCTGCTCTGCAGAGGCCTTTCCCTCCCTACCCCGCACTCACCCGTCCATTTCTGGGTCAGGGTCAGGGTCAGGGTCCCGGACAGCAGGAGGAGGAGGGCTCGGGGCTCCATGACCGAGATCCACCAAACCTTCTGGTGGAGGAGACCTGGTCACCGGAGGCAGGGAGACGCCGATGGGCTTGTCTGCGTCCGCACATCCTATGGGAGTGAGGACTCCAGCTGCGTCAGCAAGGGTCCTGGCCTGGCTCTATCCTGGGTGTTTGGTAAAGATGGAGAACTCCTGCTCCCTGTGAGTGAGCTCCTGTAGCCGGGTTTCCAAAACAGAACAGAGACGTTAAGGGCGTTCCTTTAACTATTTATCCCCCTCATTCCGTTGACTCTTTACTGTCCCCTCATCCCATTCAACTCGTCTCTGTACGTCCATTTGGCTTCTTAGGAAGTAAGTGCCGTGCTCTCTGCACCCCGATATCACTTTAATTCAGTGTGACCACCTTAATCCTACAACTGTTACCCCCTTTACACCATGAGGACAGTTGTGTTGTGCTGACTGACCACCTACTGGTTCCTAGGAGTGATTTACAGGAAACTCCTATAATACCGCTGCTTTAATTTGGATACAGAGGGATCTTATCTGAGAGATGACCAGAGACCTCACTGAGGGGGACATGCAGTAACTTCCGTATTGGACATGACTGAGAATGCTCAAGGACTGGAAATGAAATCTGCCCAGCACGCTGAACTGACTGCTCTAACTCGGGCTTGTCACGTGGACAAAGATCCGGTGGCCAATGTTCACACTGAGAGTCGGGTGCAGCCGGGACTGTGGGATCATAGGGAAGTGGGGGACTGTGGGATGATGGGGAGTCCTCACTTCCTCAGGGCAGTGCACAAAGACATGCAAAAGTGGTTGCAGGATTATTAGATGCCACACAGGACCCCAAACATTGGGCCATCATCAACATTCTGGGGCATTCTAAAGCTGCCACCATGGAAGGGAAAGGAAGTTCATTTTGCTTGCGCTGCAGCTAGGGAGGTGGCATTGAATTGACACATTATCCAGACCCAGAAATGGACACCAAATACTATTAAATCAATAAAAAATGATCTTTTACAGTTTCAGTGGACAGCTAAGGAAAAAGAAAAGGGAATATGCAACAAAAAGGGGGAAACGTATCTTTGGTACCTGCTCATCCTTCCCACCTACTGGACAATCATATTCTGTTTTTTAAGTAGTTTTACTTCTTTATTTTTGGAGAGAGGGGAAAGGAAGGAGAAAGAGTGGGAGAGAACATGAATGTGTGGTTGCCTCTCATGTGTCCCCTGCTGAGGACCTGGCCTGCAACCCAGGCATGTGCCCTGACTGGGAATCAAACTGGTGACCCTTTGCTTCACAGGCCTGTGCTCAATCCACTGAGCTACACCAGCCAGGGCTGGACAGTGATATTCTAATGATCAGTTAGGATAATGAAGTTAATGCTTTGTTGCCCACACATTGGGCCTCTCCTACTATCAGTATAAGCTTTGGGACATTTTTTTCCTCAATCAGTCTGTCCTAAGAACCCATCTGGGGGAAATTCCTCCAAGAACACATCCCTGGTAATTCACCTGCTGGGATCACATTGGACCCACTTACTTGAGTGTTGTGTAACTACAGCAATGGCTGATGAAGAGCCAAGAAAAATACCTGGTTGTGGTGGAAAGGCTTGCAGCCACCTGCCCTGTCTGTCACAGTGTGTGTGGCCCTCGGACTCACCAGGCATGTGCCTGTGGCTGGATGTTTGTGAAAAAAGAAAAAAATCAATGGCTCCTTATTTCAAAAATTATCGTTATGACTTGGTGGGCAGCTGTATCTGTAAATACCCCTGTAACCTGTATCCTGTCCTCTGTCTCCTGGACACTTGCGGGAAGCCCTTTGGGACACTGAAACCCTAGTTCATTTGGGGGTGACTTCCGTCCACTTAACTGTGGATGGGAAAGTCCACATGTCTGGGTCCATTCAGTGCACCCCAGCTGCTCCCTGGCCCTGGCTGCCCAATGGCGACAACATCCCTGGAGGACCCACCCCCACCCGCCCTCTAAAGGAAATAGAAGGGGGGACTTGGAGGGTTAGGGGCTGGCCTTGGTGTTCTGGGACAAGCTGAACTTGCAGTCAGTGAAGGTCATTCAGTAGAAAAGACCCTTTACCTAAAGTGGGTCCTGCAGAGGGACTGACTGCTGTTCTAGAAGCAGGAACGGGGTGGGAAGCAGCACAAAAGGACAATGAGGCCTGAGCTCCGTGGACGAACAGACTCGACAGACTGTGGAAACCCAGGCCCAGGCCCAGCAGTGGGACCTGCCTGCACCCGAACTCCACAGGCCTGTTGTCCCTGCTGATGGAGACGAGGTCGGAAGTAGCCACGAAACCGTGGTCACTGGGGTGGGAGCAGGAGCCCAGGCCAGACAGTCATGGGACTCATATGGTCCCCCTGGATTTTGGAGAAGTGGGGTGGGCAAGGCAAGCTACAACATAGTGTGTTAAAAGCCCAGGCACATCAATGAGGTCCTACGCTCAGATTCTGAGTATTCAACAGCTGGCATAGGGACCATCCTCGCCAACATGCGATACTTCCTATGGGAAGTAAGTGGGCCCAATTTATTAAAATAAACAATGGGGGCCCATCTCCCTGTCTAATCATAAAAGTTGAGAAGGTGACGGTCATGCCTCCAATTTATACGAAGTACAGTCTGGGCGTGTTATTTCTTCTCCAACAAATAACAGTGTCTGGTGTATGGAAAAGGGATGTTTGTGTTGGGAGGGGCAGAGAATTCTGCTATAGTAAGTGATCTTCATTGTGATAACACCATCTTTATGTGAAATAGTACTGGAAAGTTGTGTAACACTAAAATTGTAGGTGAAATAACTTTGCCCGAGGTTAATAAAACCTATGGCATTGTCGATACCGGAAGTCCAATCTATTGGGAAAGTGAACCTGATCCTTCCCATGAGGTCATTTCTATGGCAACGTAGTGGCCAGAAGGAAAATTAGAGCTTCTGAATCTCGAAATAGTAGCACTTGTGGGGGCGACTTCTTTCCTGATGTCCCCCTGGTGCAACGGACACGCATGAATGAGTAAATATGGCCGAGACAAGATGAGATCTGTTTGGGGGATGGAGGAGTGGGCTGTGGCCAGTTTCTCTGGGGAGACAAAGGCCAGCAGCGGCCAGTTTCTTGGAGGAGAAAAAGGTCCCAGCGCCTTCTTCCATAGCCTTTTATTGCATTGTAATACGGGAATACAGGGTGGCAAGGATCAAACAGTAGCTAACATTTCAAAGAGTTCTGAGGGTTCTAACTGATGAGTCTCGAGAGAGTTGCAGAAACTTTGGGAGACAAACTCATTTCCTCTCGGACCCTTATCATATGAGTGAAAGCACTTTTCAGAGCAGATTTCACAGGTTAATCAGTAAGTCTTTGTGGTGCCAGATTTTTCCCAGGGCATGTTCTGGCCAGGCAAGGAGCTGCACCTCTCCCCATCAGGTATTCAGGTTTAAGGGGATTAGAGCCAGGAAGTGCTTCTCCCAGAGGACATGGGGACTCGGGCTTTGACAAAGCCGGGGGGTGAGAGCCCATTGCTCTTTGTTGCAGTCCCCTGAGTCCTTCTATGAAGGCCTCCCAGGTGATCGAGTCTGGCTGAGGTTGCCCCCCACTGTGAGGGGTCTTACCCATCACTGACTTCTGACCAAGCTGTGGGGGCAGGGAGAGGAACTGAGGCAGGGTTTGCTACCAGAGACAGGCTTTGTCTCCTGTGGCTGGAATTCCAGAGGTCGTCACTCACCTTCAGCCAGAGGGGTAGAGATACAATTCCTAAAATCAGGCAGAGCAGTCCACTACAAACACTCCTGCTACTATAGTTGTCCAGACAACCATAACATACAAGGTAGGAAGGACAGTGAGCCAGGGAGGGAAGACATTATTAGGCTAATAAAACTGTTGATGATACATGCACAGGGTTTTGGTGGCTGGGACACCTGTTCCCCTCAGATGCTTTCTTGTCTATTATTAGATGTTTTCTGTTGCTAATCAGTGTTGCGGGTTTAGTAAAATTACTCCTGTCCCCGATGCGTAAATGTTAGACTAAGAGGCAGAAAAACAGAACTTAGGACCAGCTGCAAAAAGACTCAGGTCACGGCAGCTGGAAAACTGGAAATGATCCATAACATTCACAAACAAGGGCCCGAAGGCTCTGGCTGCCTCCTGTTCCCCGCCTTCTCTGAATAATAATAGTTGGAGCTTCAGTGCTTTCTGGGATTGTGGTCTGGCTCATTCCCAGGGGTCCGCCCTGTTCAGCAAGACAGATGCCGACTCTGAGACGGCGGGGGAGTGAGCCTTCCTCCCACCATGGGGCCACCTACCTACCCAAAGAGCTGGTTCGCAATGCACACTTTGACTGGTTTATGATGAAAAGGGGGGCTTGTGGAAGGAAAGGGGCCACGTAGTAACCTGAGCAGCTCAGGGGAGGCCCGTGTGGCAGGCAGCCTTATGCACTGGGAGACCTGAGGCAACCACACTGGTCATCCCGTGTGACCCGGGGCTGATCGTCCTGTGGGTTCTGGTCCCCCAGCTCCCTGTTCACCGCCTCAGGTCTGTTCTGTGGCTTTTCCTGAAATGAAATGAGCCCCCCAATCACCCACATATATAAATTCTTTTATATGTTTAAATTAGGAAATTTTGGTTCTGTTATTTGCTCCAGAAATCAATCAGGGGAATCATTACAGAGAGCAAGCATTTGGAGATTTTCACGATGTGGAACTGAGAGCCCCTTTCTCAATCTTTCGCTTGACTTTCCCGCGTGGTAGAGAAAATGCTGTACCTCTCATATCGTATGACACACGAACGACCTCGCCTTCCCCAGAAAAAGAAAACATTTAAATATGCATTTAAGTCATTTCCCCAACCTGGGCCCGATCTCACCACTGAATTGTGTGAACCCAAATCCGGCTGAGACCAGGATGGCTTGTGGGCTGGTTACAAAATACATAAATTTCTGCCCATTGCTGCTGTCAAAATGTTGGGTACGAAGTCCAAATTATTTTTCAACTCACAATATTTTTCATCTTTTTCTTTCATTTGTTTGTTCCACCAGCCTTTGTCCCCCCCAACCACCCATACAACCCCACCCCAATTACCACACCGTTGTCCGTGTCCATGAGATTTTTTATTTTTTAACTACGGTTGACATACAATGTTGTGTTACTTTCAGCCATGGAACTCCATGATTATACATTTATATAACTTATTAAGCAATCTCCCTGAAAAGTCTAGTACCCATCGGACACCATATGTAGTCACAACAATATCACTTCCTACTTTCCCCTGCTGTACTCTACACCGCACTCATAAGTGTCCAGGGCTGACACGGGACAACCACATTTTCGCTGACTTGGGTGGAAGTTATGAGAGGGACTAAGCAGAGTGAGTGTAGAATCGGTGAGGGCACAGCAGGACAATCTCAGAACGTCTCCCTGTAAATTACTGATGAATGAAAAACACCAAACGGTGACTGTTTGACAGGGATACCTGTCACCCCCCTGAGTGGGTCACCAGAATGAATGTCCCCACGGTCAGGACAGGGAGGTGCAGTGTCCCGTCCTTGTTCTTTAATCTTCCACAGTCCTGGCTCCCTTGGTGGCCTCATCCACCCTCATGGTTTTAAATGTCATTTTTGTAGCATCACCTCTACCCCTATGTCTCCAGCCCAGACATTTCTCCTCAAGGTCCCCACACTCCTCTGTCCAACCTGACTCCTCACTGGTGCTCATAACAGACGTCTCACCTTGACCTTCTCTTCAGCTGAACCCTTGAAATGCCCATCCCTCCCACACACATACTCCTGCCAGTATCTTCCTCGTCTCTGCTGATATAACCCCATCTTTCTGCTGGCACAGTACAAATGTGGGGTGCCCTCCTTGACTCCTTTCCCACACCCCAGATTGAATCCTTTGGAAATGCTGGGAAATCCATCTTCCAAATGCATTCAGTGTCCACTCCCTTCCCACTGTTTCCACCACTCACAGCCCCATCAGAACACCCAGCACCTGCAGCCTGGAACCCTGGGAGCTTCCCCATACCTTTCCCTCCTGCCTCGCTGGTCCCTTGTCTCCTGATTCTGTTCTCAGTCCAGTAGCCAGACTGACCCTGTGGCCCAAGGGCTCTCCCTTGAGGACGAACTCTCAGAGGAAGCCACTAAGGTCATGGGGGCTCCTTGGCCATGACCTTCCAGGACTCAGCATCTGCAGAATGAGAGCAGTGTCTGCAGTGGATTAAGGACAGTGGATGCTGGGACACTTCCTGCTTTAAGCAGGTGTCTTCACCTTCTGATTGGTCAGCTCTGTGCACCCCACACAGACAGCCCTGAGGTCTACATGAGGAGGGCCTGAAAGCTTGGGACGACTCCTAGGCAATAAATATGCACCTGGTTAGAATCAGGGACTCAACCAGCGAAAACCAGAGGCTCCAAATGGTCGCATTCGGATGCATGGGAAGAAACCCTTAAGTGCCAATGGAGCACAGGTGGTCACAAGGAACATCACTGGGGAGCCGTGTGGTCCCCTTGTCCGTGGCAGACAGTCTGTCCCTCCTGGGTTGTCTGCACACCTCATGGTAAGTTTGTGAGTTTAAATTAACAGCTTAACAAATGGGATGAAGGTGTACATAGAATAATATTTGCTGGAAACGATACACTTTGGAGCTTTTAATCTAAATCACTTCTGTTTAATTCGTATATATAAATATAGAGTTAAATTTATTTAATGCAGACGTGTTCAGATACTTGTTGCAGAAACTGCAGTCAGGGACCCTTAAAGTCCCAAGGGGAGGCTGCAGTGACTGTTTTAGCACCAAACCTGGACAAGGCAGCTCTGTCACACTGGGAAAGAAAGTTGTCATGAACAAATTCAGGTCAGCCTCGGAAGTGTCACAACTCCCACATCCCACCACAGGCTCAGAATGTCCTACTTTAAGAATCCCCAAAACCCAGCTGTGCCCCTCAGTTCAAATACCCGCCCACATCCTGCCTCAGGGTCTCACCCTTAGGAGCTGTGAGAGACACACCAGGGCCCTGGGCACTGTTGCTGTCTGGGGAAGACACACAGCAGAGTTACGGGGTGGGGGAAGCCGCCCTCACAGACTCCAGCCCACACTCTCCCAAGGGTCCCAGATGTCACCTTCCAACACCCAGACTTACAGGCAGCCTGAATGTTGCTCTGTTTGCTTCTGCCTGTGGGAAGAAAATGTTCTGTGAAAGGTCAGGGGGAAGGGTGGATCCCATGACCCTAAAGGAGCCTCACACTCCTGAAGCACAGGGAAGGTTCCAGAAGTATGACTGAACACTCGGGGTAGGATCAGAAAATACAGAGACAGTACATGTGTTGGGACTCGACCAATCACTCTTCTGGATGTCTGTCCTCAGCAGGGACCTTCCCCTTTGACCTGTGACAGCTGGGAATCAGTCCCCACCACTAGAACCATCAGGTGATAAATGTGTCCCTCACTTTCCCACGGGCCTCACTAAAGAGTCAGTGTTAGGAAACAGGCCCCAGATGTACAAGCAGTCGTGTGGGGACACGATGCTCATTAACCAGGCAGAGCACACTTCCACCTGGGCTTGACCCCCAGGGGCACAGGGAACTCAGCCCCACCCCTTCCCACCTGAGCACTTCCTCCTCCAAATCACAGCTCCAGCAGCCACAGCTCCAAGGAGACCCAGGGCAGCAGCGATGCCCACAATGCCCATGGTGGTGATGATGGTCTGAGGAGGGGGTTCTGAGAGGGGAAGGTGAGAGACCAACCTCAGGCCTGAGTCCTGACCCTGCTCAGGGACACCCTGAGGAGAGTCTCCAGGTCTCTGAGGGGAGACACAGACTCAGGTGGAGGCTGAATGACTCATAGTAGCCAGTCAGGCCTCCAGAGAAGGTCCCAGCCCCAGAACCAGGGAGAGCCTCCTGGTGCCCCAGGTGATGCAGGGTGTGAAGGAACCGCTGTGGGGCTTTCCAGGGAGAGGCTGGGTCCCTTACTGTCCTTCAGAGAAAGCTGGGCCCACGGGTGAATCACAGAATGAGGACACTTGGGGATTCTTCCCTCTCCTGAGCAGGAGCGGGATCCGACACTGCACCCTTTGCCTCCTCTCCTTGTAGGAAGCCCCTCCAAGCCGACAGATCCCTCTTCGGGAAGGCTCACGCCGCAGCAGGGTGGAGCCGGCGCACGCTAGCGCCCTTCAGGTAGACCCTCCTGAGGTCCGCGTCAGGGACGTCCACCAACTTGCCCCAGGTGATCCGGAGTCTAGGAGAGCGGGTACCCATTTAGGGCCAAGTAGGCGGTGCGTCGTAGGCGAACCGAATTGTTTCCTTGGAGGAACCTCCTATGGTCGTCTACGCCGCCGCCACTCGTTTCCTTGTGGGTTGGGACACTGACTCCGCTCCCAGGGCAGGTCGGTCCCCTCCCGCAGTGAAGGTGAATAAAACGTAACCTGGAACGAAACGGGGTCAAATCCCCGCGAGCTCCAATCCGGAAGGGCACAGGGCGATTCTCCCAACCTCGGGGTGAAGCCCGAACCACAGATTCGGGGCGACCCCGGCCCGTCCGTGGTGAAGTGCATCGAGCTCGAACCCGGGCGCCGGTGGCTCCCCGTGTTCACTCTGGCTGTAGCGGGCGTGCAGCTTGTTCGATTTCGCTGGCACAGTCTGTTCCTGGGCTTGATTTCCCGCGTCTGCTCGTCCTGCTTCTCTGGATCCTCCCGCTTCTCTCACGGAGGCTCCCTCCACGGTACCCGCGGCTCCAGCCTGGGCCTCGGGGCATCGCTGTTGAGCCGCAAGATCCGGGTATCGCCCACGTAGCCGACGACGCTGTACCGGTTCTTCAGAGGCAGGTCGGTCCGGACACGCCGGTGTTGAACTTTCTCACAATGCGAGGGTCTGGGAGCTGAGAGGGCGACCGGCCTGCGTCCGCAGTCAGGCGGATTGAGCTGGATCGCGCCCAGAACAGCAAAGGGGGCGGAGATTGAGATGGGCTGGGCCAGGGACGGGGCCGAGGAGGGGGTTTGCTGTTGGGATTGGGCTGCGGTGGCTGACGACGCGCCCTTCCCCGGTTCCGCGTCCCCGCCTGGTGCACGCGCTCCTGCCCCACGGAAGCCGTTCCCTGCCGACCCCGCACTGAGCGGCCCAGGTCTCTGTCAGCCCAGGGCCCCCGAGAGCAGCAGGAGCAGCTGTCCGGGACCCTGTCCAACCGTCGGGTCGGGGAGGAATAGGTCGCTTAATTCGCATCCGGGATGATACTGATTGGCTTTTCCCGAGTTCGGACATCCAATCACCATGAGACAGGCTGTGCCTCACGAATATCCAGGCGTAGACCCGGCATAAGTCGTGATAAAGGAAAATAAAACCCCAAGGAGAAGGGAAAGCCTGGAACCGAAGGGCACTGCCCCCAGCACTTAGGGTTCCGCCTCAAACTCAGGCCTCAGACCTTGGAGTCAGGCCTGGCGACCTGGGACTGGGCCCCGACCCCTCCTCCTCCTGCAGGGGGAGCTCTGTCCCGCTGTCTCCCTGAGTCCCGGCCCCCGGGCTGTTTGTTCAGCGACTCTCAAAACAGTTTGGTTTCAGAATATCTAAAGAGTCTTACAAAATAGGGACGGCCACCAAAACAATTTTGTTTGTGTGGGTTACTGCTATCAATATTTACCATACAAGGAATAAGACAGTTGAAAAATTCTTAATTCATTTAGAATAATCATAATACTCTATGACATGTTAACAGAAGTAATGGTTTTTTTTAATGAAAAATAACTATTCCCCAAACGAGGTAGTGAAAAGAGTGGATCTGCTTACATTTTATGTTTTAGTGAGTCTCAGTTCTTGTCTGTAAAATTAGAAGTCCGCTAGATTTTCATATTTGCTTCTGCATTTAATGTTATTTTTGGTTGCAGTATATGAAGAAATATACAGCATCACACAAATATGGAGAGGGAACATTTTTAAAAAAGATTTTATTTTTAGAGGAAAGGGAGAGGGAAACATCAATGTGTGGCTGCCTCTGGCAGCGCCCCTCACTGGGAACCTGGGACAAGGGCATGTGTCCTTGACTGGGAATCCAATGGTGACCCTTTGGTTCACTGGCTGGTGCTCAATCCACTGAGCAACACCAGCTAAGGCAGGAGGAGCATTTAAAAAATATTTTTTTATTTATTTTTTAGAGAGAGGAGAAGGGAAGGAGAAAAAGGGAGAGAAACTTCAATGTGTGGTTGCCTCTCGCATGTCCCCTACTGGGGACCTGACCTGCAACCCAGGCAAGTGCTCTGACTGGGAATCCAATGGTGATCATTTGGTTCCACAGGCCCGCACTCAATCCACTGAGCCACACCAGCCAGGGCAAAATGTTTTTTTTCTTTCATTTATGTGAATGTGTTAAAAGTGTAACTCGGGAAAGCACTAATGATATCCACATGCAATATAATACCATACTATCCAAAATAATATTCAAATTCCTTTATCATACAAAAAACCCAGGCATCTAAATACAAATAATAAATTATATTAAAAATTAAAATGAAATTTTTTTCCTGTTTGGGCCAAAAATGTCGGTGCATGTTATACATGGCAAAACACGGTAATCATCAGCTGATTCTCTGTATTTTTTGTTTCAATTATCACCAGAGGACATTTTTTCCCTTGATTTTAGAGAGAGATGAAGTGGAAGTGAGTGAGAAAGGCTGGTATCACGGAGAAACATCGCTCAGTTGCACCCCAAGGTGCCCTGACCGGTGGGGCTCCCTATTCCAACTCAGGTGTGCGTCCTGACCAGGAACTGCACACATGGCCTGTTGATGTGCAGGACGACAGTCCAACGGAGCTAGTGGGCTGGGATGATATTGTTTTCTTGTTTTTGATGGAAGGTGGTCAGTGTAGCTAAGTGGGATGGGTGTTCTCCCACAAACTGAAAAGGCTCCAGGTCAGTTCTTGGTTAGGGCACAGGCCTGGGTGTGGGGCCACCTACCCGATTAGCCCCTATATTGATGTTTATTTCACACATCCATGTTTTGCTCCCTATCTTTCTCCTTCTCTTCCTTGCTCTCTAAAAGTAAATAAATACACTCTGAAAAAAAAAAAAAGAAAATGCTAAGAACTACAGGATTTCACTCATATATGGGACATAAACCTAAAACTCAGGGACACAGACAGCAGGGTGGTGGTTCCCAGAGGGAAGGGGGTTGGGGGAGGAGGGGCCTCATACCTGGTGAGGGAAGATGGTTTGACTTTGGGTAGAGGGCACACAGTGAAATGTACAGACCCTGTGTCGTAGAAATGTGCACCTGAAACCTACAGGAACCTCTTAACCAGTGCACCCCAATACATTGAATAAGAACACCACCCAATAATTTAATAAAAACATTGCAATAATTTAATAAGAAAATAAGAATATACATAACATGCCCAAAAAGAAAAAAAAACAATAAAATACCCCAAACGGGCTGAGGGCCAGACCCAGGCCTGAGCCCAGGCTGACGGGGCCTCATGAAGCCCTCACTGAGCACAGTCCTGGAGCCACCACAAGGCCTAGGTGATGCTGGAGTCCCTGGGATCCCAGGTCCTGCTGGGACAAGGTTCTCCTGAAGTGGCAAGGACAAAATAGCAACAAAGATGCCCCAGACTAGGAATGACCAGGATGGGGATGCCTCACCCCGGCTCTGCTGGTACATGACAGTCCCCTGGGGAGAGGACACAGGTCCCTGTGGGGAGGGTGGCCTGGGCACCAGCTCCTCACTGTGCTGATAAGAATGCAGACAAGTTCTGATGCCAGTTGCAGGAACAGCAGTCAGGGATCCTTAAAGTCCCAAGGGGAGGCTGCAGTGACTGTTTTAGCACCAGGTCCCATAGAAAGCAGCTCTGTCACCCTAGGAAGAAAGTTGTCATGAACACACTCTGGTCAGTCTCAGAAGTGTCACATTCCCCCACATCCCACCACAGGCTCAGATTGTCCCACTCTGACAATCCCCAAAACCTATTTGTGTCCCTCGGTCCCAATGTCTCCCACTTCCTGACCTCAGGGTCTCACCCTTAGGAGCTGTGAGAGACACACCTGAGTCCTGGGCACTGTCACTGTCTGGGGAAGACACATAGCAGAGTTACGGGGTGGGGAAGCCCCCCTCACAGACTCCAGCCCACACTCTCCCAAGGGTCCCAGATGTCACCTCCCCAACACCCAGACTTACAAGCAGCCTGAGTGCATCTCTCCTTGCCTCTGCCTGTGGGAAGAAAATGTTCTGTGAGAAGTCAGGGGAAAGGCTGGGTCCCGTGACCCTAAAGGAGCCCCACACTCCTGAAGCACAGGGAAGGTTCCAGAACTGTAACTGAACATCGAGGTAGGATCAGGAAACTTAGGGAAAGTAACATGTGTGGGGACTCAGCCAACCACCCACCTGGACGTCTGTCCATAGCACAGATCCTACACTCTGACCTCTGGCAGCTGGGAAACAGTCCCTATTGCTAGAACCCTCAAATTATAGGTCCTTCACTTTCCCATGGACCTCACTAAAGAGTCAGTGTTAGGAAACAGGCCCCAGATGGACAAGCACCCGTGTGGGGACACCATGACCATTATCTGGGCAGAGCACACTTCCACCTGGGCTTGACCCCCAGGGGGACAGGGAACTCAGCCCCACCCCTTGCCCACCTGAGCACTTCCTACTCCACATCACAGCTCCAGCAGCCACAGCTCCAAGGAGACCCAGGGCAGCAGCAATGCCCACAATGCCCATGATGGTGATGGTGGTCTGAGGAGGGGGGTCTGAGAGGGAAAGGTGAGAGGTCAACCTCCGGCCTGAGTCCTGACCCTGCTCAGGGACACCCTGGGGAGAGAGAGGCTCTGTGCCCACACCGCCTCCTCACCCCATCTCAGGGTCAGGGGCTCAGGCAGCCCCTGGTGCTGCACATGGCATGTGTATCTCTGCTCCTCTCCAGGGGGCACGACCACAGCCGCCCACTTCTGGAAAGTCCCGTCCCCCGCAGGCCTGGTCTCCACAGCCTCCATGTCCTGGGTCAGGTCTTGCCCTTCACGCTGCCAGGTCAGGGTGATGCCCGCAGGGTAGAAGCCCAGGGCCCAGCACCTCAGGGTGACCTCATGGTCAGAGATGGGGTGGTGGGTCACGTGTGTCTTTGGAGGGTCTGAGGGGAGGATGACAAAATTCAGAGACTTTGCATGGTCATGGGACCCTCCAGCATGGCACCACCCAGACAGCAGCCTGGACAGGGCCTTATTTCCTGGAAAGTTCCGGAATCAGGGAGAGAACCTAGAGTTGGAGTGTCCAAGTGTCTAAGTTGAGAATGAGACTCAGGTGGAGGCAGAATGAGTCACAAAAGCTGGAGTCCAGCTTCAGAGAGTCTCAGCCCCAGAACCAGGGGGAGTTCCTGGTGTACCAGGTGCTGCAGGGTGTAAAACTCATTTTCGTGAGGGTCACATCAGCCTCTCAGTTGCTTTCAAAGGGCCAAATGTAATTTCAACCCCTTAACAGTTAAGAAGTAGTTACATTTCTACGATTCTAAAATAAGGGAACCTGGAGGACTCTTCCCTCTTGAGACCAGGAGGAGGATTCTGATACTGGTCTATTTTCCTCCTCTCCTTGTAGGAACATTTCCCCTGCCGACAGATCCCCTCTACTCGGGGAGGCCGTGCCCCCGAACCTGCTCGGAGCAGCGTGTCCTTCCCCTTCTCCAGGAGGCGGTGGAGGCGGCGCACGCAGGTGTCCTGCAGGAAGAATCTCCTGACGTCCGCATCAGGGAGCAGCACCAACTCGCGCCAGGTGATCTGGGGCGCCATGGCCCTGGTGGTCCAGGAGCACAGGTCCTCATCCAGGGAGAGGAATTCGGTGCCGTCGTAGGCGAACTGACTGAACCCGTGGAGGAAGTGCCCGTCCAACCCGACGAGGCAGCCGGTCATTTCCTGGAGGGTGTGAGACCCTGACGCCCCCCAAGGTCAGCCCCACCCACTTGGCCCCGCCTGGCCCCACCTCGCAGCAACATCAGGGGAATGCTAGGACCCTGAGACTGGGGCGACTCAGGCCCGTCCGTAGGGATGGATTCATCCCCGAGCCCCGGGCACACATGGCTCACCGTCCTCGCTCTGGTTGTAGTAGACCTGCAGCTTGTTCAGGGTCACTCTGCTCGTCTGTTCATTGTGCCTTATTTCCTGCATCTGTTCCTCCCAAAACCCTGCGCCCTCCTGCTCCATCCAGGGCACCCTCGGCTCCAGTCTGGAACTGGAGGCGTCACTATGGAACCGCAGGATCTCCGTGTCGTCCAGGTAGATGACGACGGTGTAGCGGTTCTTCTCGCCGAGGGGTACGTACATGGCGGTGCTGCAATATCCCAGGGTGTGGGGGCCTGGGGGCGGGGAGGGGGGAACCGCAGGTCCTGTGTTCGCTGTGGGGCGGGTGGGAGCTGGGCGCCTGGGACACTGAAAGGTGGCGGGTGCTGGATCGCACTGAGCGGGAAAATGGGGGGCGTGGCTAAAGCAGGAGTGGGGGAGGTCTGGGGTGTGGGCGGGCGGTGCTGCTGGAGCACAGTCCCCGGGTCTGCGCCTCCGCCGGCCCCCTGGCTCCTGCTCTGCAGAGGCCTTTCCCTCCATACCCCGCACTCACCCATCCAGTTCTGGGTCAGGGTCAGGGTCAGGGTCCCGGACAGCAGGAGGAGCAGGGCTCGGGGCCCCATGACGGCGATCCACCAAACGTGGGTGGAGGAGTCCTGCTCACCGGACGCACGGAGACGCCGATGGGCTTGTCTGCGTCCGCACATCCAATGGGCGTGAGGAATCCAGCTACGTCAGCAATGCTCCTGGCGTGGCTCTGTCCGGAACGTTTAGTGAACGTTTAGTGATCGTTTAGTGAACGTTTAGTGATCGTTTAGTGAACGTTTAGTGAACGTTTAGTGAACAAGGAGAACTCCTGCTCCCTGTGAGTGAGCTCCTGTAGCCGGTTTTCCAAAACAGAACAGAGACGTTAAGGGCGTTCCTTTAACTATTTTTCCTCCTCATTCCGTTGACTCTTTACTGTCCCCTCATCCCATTCAACTCGTCTCTGTGCGTCCGTTTGGCTTCTTAGGAAGTAAGACTCGTGCTCTCTGCACCCGGATATCACTTTAATTCAGTGTGACCACCTTAATCCTGCAACTGTTACCCCCTTTACACCATGAGGACAGTTGTGTGGTGCTGACTGACCACCTACTGGTTCCCAGGAGTGATTTACAGGAAACTCCTATGATGCCGCTGCTTTAATTTGGTTATAGAGGGATCTTATCTGAGAGATGACCAGGGACATCACTGAGGGGGACATGCAGTAACTTCTGTGGTGGACATAACTGAGAATGCTCATCGACTGGAAATGAAATCTGCCCAGCACGCTGAACTGACTGCTCTAACTCGGGCTTGTCCCCTGGATGAAGACCTAGTCGCCGATGTTAACACTGAGAGTCCTGTGTGCCTGGTGCATCCGGGACTGTGGGATGATGGGGAAGTGGGTGAGGCCTCCTCACTTCCTCAGGGCAGTGCACAAAGACATGCAAAAGTGGTTGCAGGATTATTAGATGCCACACAGGACCTCAAACAATGGGCCATCATCAACATTCCGGGGCATTCTAACGCTGCCACTATGGAAGGGAAAGGAAGTTCATTTTGTCTGTGCTGCAGCTAGGGAGGTGGCATTGAACTGAGACGTTATCCTGACCCGGAAATGTACACCGAATTCTATTAAATCAATAAAGGATTATCTTTTACAGTTTCAGTGGACAGCTAAGGAAAAAGAAAAGGGAATATGCAACAAAAAGGGGGAAAGTTTGACCCAGACAGAGAGATGTGGCTTGGACCCAATCAGAACCCATCTCACCTGTAGGGGCCCAACTCCCTGCACTTGAACCTGTACAGGACCCACCACACTTGAGCCTTGGAAAGGTGATTTCATGGAGTGAACACTGTGACTGGAGACCTTCTCCTGCTGTGGCTCATGAGGAGTACAGCAGCTGTCCTGTCTGTCCACAGTGCAGCTCAGGAACCCACTCCCTGGGTCCCAAGGACATTTCCTGCTCCCTGTGGGTCCAGATGAGGTTGGCATTTTATCCAATGTCACCGTGTCAGGGATGCAAACGTACATGAGTGATGACTTGTGTGTTTCGTCACTGGGTTGAGGTGTTGCTTTGAAGGAGAGTCACAGCCTCAATGTTTGCTAGTTCTCGTTAGAAAGAATAACTCAGAGGGGAATCCATCTGAGTTACACAATGACTGAAGACTAATTTCACTGGGCAGGTCACAAAATCTGTTGGAACCTTTGGCCCCTTCTGCAGCATTTTCACGTGCCCCTCCCCCCTCCCCCCAGACTGGGGGATGCACCAATGGGACATCAAAATTCAACTGGACAGAACTTCAGAAGCCTTCACTCTGCCCTGGACAGAAGCTCTCTCCAGAGTACAACTCAGCCTGAGGGCTACGCCCTTTGGTAACGTGAACCTTCTCCTTTGGGACTGGTCTCTGACTTCCTTGTGCATCTGGAGAAGGGGCACATGGACCAATTTTGCTGAAAGGGGACTTTCTACATCAGTGTCAGGGGCTTATTAACCACTCCTGGGAGTCATAGGTTTCAAAGATGATGGCTTACAACCAGGACACTCGGTCTGTTGGAAGAGACATCAAATCAAGGACTCTCTCCAGCCTCATTGGAGGGACCTTACCAGGTGCTACTAACTAACCCACGTGCAGCTGAGCTCAGAGGAGTTAACTCCTGGGTTCCCACGTCTCATTTAGAGAAGACTCCTGACAGTGCACGGAGATCTGCCCCTTCCCTGACACTTGCCTCCATGCACAGCAGAGATCAGGGACTTTTCAAGGACAAGAAGCCACCAACCAGGCAGGCAGACAGCTGTCCCAACACAGAAACAGGGCCTACAGGCTCACAAATTGATGCTGCTGTTGACTGAATGTACATAAGATGGATTTGTATTATTATCCTCCTCGTCGCTTCCTGATGGAAACAGTACCCGTCCACCCAGACCCCCTTCCTTCTTAGATGTGGAAAACGTATCTTTGGTACCTGTCAACATTCCCACCTACTGCACAATCATATTCTGTTTTTTAAATAGTTTTACGTCTTTATTTTTAGAAAGCAACCTTCGTTCCTTCCCTAGAAATACTGGCACGAACTGCACAACCAACTAAAGTACCAGGCTTTTCTTGTGGGCTTTCGCTACCTTCACAGGTCAATCCCAGTTCCTCAGGGCTTTCTGGTAACGACCAGAACCCATACATGCCTCCTTCAGGCGTGACATTCCGGTCAAAGTCCTGGTTAACAAAACCACTATTAAAGACTGGTCTTATTGATTTTATGCAAAGAAACCTTGTCATCACTCACTCCGTCACAGTGTAAAATCCTGGAGGGTTCAGGTAGGGAAAAAATACAAATCATAATGGAAAATCCTTTTTCTTGTTCACTTTCCTGTAGAGTATGAAGTTTTAACCTTTCCTGGAATCCTCAATTTCCTTTTGCAGAGTAGATACAGACCAAAATTAAAACACAGAGTTCCGAAACAATACAGGTAAAGACATTCTCTTGCACCAATGCGTCCACTGGTGCCTCATAGAGACATGCTCCTTCAGGCCCAGTCTCAAGGCAGAGACATGCTGCTTTGCCTCAGGCTGAAACACTTTTCAGCCCCAAATGACCCTTCCTGGGTTCCCAGCGGCAAAAGCATTCTCCCCAACCAGTTACAGCGACCTTCACTAGGTCTTACAGTACAGGGTTTCTGATCAGAAGCAAAACTACATGTGAGAAATTTGTTTTCCCCATGAAACCAGAAAACAAGTAGTTGAGGTTTCCTTTACTCCAGTTTTAAAACTTTCATATCTTTTATACACATTTCTGCTTATCTAGATTTAACCATCACTCTCTTTTAATATTGGTCCCTTTCCCACACTGGGAAGGACTATACTTAAACTCAGTAGTTATACTCAGTATGTGGAAGCTAAAAGTCCCTAGTACTATCTCTGCGCCTTTTACTAAAAGTCCCTTGATTTGCA